AGAGGCAGAGACTAGAACATCCCTGATGCTTTCCTAAGCAATTGTTCTAGCTGACTGGGAACTCATGGTAGTGAGTGAGGAAACATGCCAACCTCTGGACACCACATTCACAAACACATATGTGAACACAAATGTACTTATACACATACACCTCACGAAAGCAATGATACAATATTGAAGTTATCTATAAATTTATGTTGCAGTCTCATAAATAAAACACTACCAAACTACCAGCAATCAACTTCAACAAAATCTGAATTTGACCAAACAAGATATATTTTCTATATATCTTCCTCATAGAAAACTTTAAAGCTTCATATGAAAACAGATTAGAGTATTTGTACTTACAATGAAATAATTATTTGACTATAACTAATACTCTGCACCATGTTTAACAGGAAGAAATTAGAAAAGTTTGTTTTCAACCTTGTTTCTTCTATTAGAAATAATTAGGATCCACTACTTTAAAAAAAATCAACATATTTTCGGTTTACTCAAGTCCTTGAAATATTCTCACTCCAATGTTGCCTTATTGCCAGAGAATGATAACAAGTTATCAGAAGTTTAAATTGGTATTCAGAGGGTCTTACTACAATGTTTTTCTAGTTGCTGTGGTGGTTAGTTTTAAAGGTCAATGTGACATGAACAAGAATTACTGGGGCACATATTTTTTTTTTAGAGTACAAAAAGGAAAGTGTTCTTTATTTTTTGGATTTTAGTCATTACAAAGGTATGGATCAGGCACATGTGAGTCAGTATTCCAAGCAAAACAGGACAGGTGAGAGATTCATGTTGAGAAACCCGTGAAACTAAACAAGATGCAGCAATGAATAAGGAAGCAAAATTGGTTGTCATAAACCAGTTGATAAGTTTCTTGAGTTTCGGGGCTCAATGTAATTGTCCAGTAGCTTAGGTTGTTCCCAATCCAGAGACTGTAAGATGTAAGTGCCCAAGTCCATCCTCCAGGCAGCTGTTGGACTTGTGAATAAAAGACTCATTCCCTAATGGATTCCTGATTCATTTGTAAAGACTCCTCTAGTATTGTGTCTATGACTTTCCTCTTATTTTCCCATAAGCTTCCACAAAATCTCCCCCATTACTGTGCTCTCCCTTGGCTCAGGTCTGCCATTAACACCTCAATCCTTAGGACAACATATGATGAGATGTCTTTGTGGTGTCCTATTTTCATGTATTTATTTATTCTTATTTTACATATTGATCCCAGTTCCTTCTCCCTCCATCCCATACCCCCGACCACCTTCCCATATCACCCCCCCCAACTCCACAGGGAGGGTGATGCCTTCCAGGAGGGATAAACAAAATCTGTCAAGTCTTTTGGAGAAGGGCCTAGGCCCTCCCTCCTGCCTCTAGGTTGGGGAATGTCCTCCCAGAGTCTTTTTGTGCACCAGGAATGCATCCTGATTTCACTGTCAGGGAAATGCAAATCATAACAACTCTGAGATACCATCTTACTTATGCCAGAATGGCTAAAATTAGAAACACCAATGACAACTTATGCTGGAAAGGATGTGGAGAAAGGGGACCACTCCTCCACTACTGGTGGGAGTGCAAACTTGTACAGCCATTTTGGAGATCACTATGGTGGTTCCTCAGAAAAATGGGAATCAGTCTACCGCAGGACCCAGCAATCCCACTCTTAGGCATATTCCCAAATGATTCACATCCATGCAACAAAGACATCTGTTCAACTATGTTAGTAGCAGCATTATTTGTAATAACAAGAACCTGGAAGCAACTTCCTCAACTGAAGAGTGGATAAAGAAGATGTGGCACATTTATAAAATGGAATACTACTCTGTGGGGGAAAAACAATGGAATCTTGAAATTTGCAGGCAAATGGATGGAACTTGAAGAAACCATCCTGAATGAGGTAATCCAGTCACAGAAAGAGGAACATGGTATGTACTCATATAGGGATTTTAGACAATGAACAAAGGATCACCACCCTATAATTCACACTGTCAGAGAAGCTAGTAAGATTCATATAGGTCCCTTACAGAAGGGGAAAGGAACTACATCTCCTGAGCATATTGGGGGTGGGGGGTGCAGTGAGTGGAGAGGGAGCTAGGAGAAAGAGAAGGGGAAGAGCGGAAAGCATGTGGGACTAGGAAGATTGAAGCAGTGGAGGAATAGAGGAGAGAAAGGGAGAGAGAGAGAGCATAAAAGAGGGAGCCATTATAGATTTGAAGAGAAAACTAACTGTAGAGAAATGACCAGAGACCTACAAGACTGACCCCAACTAACAATTTGAGCAACAGTGGAAAGGCTTCCCTAAATGTCCTTCCCTGATAATGAGATTGATGACTAACTTATCCACCATCATAGAGCCTTCATCTAGCAGCTGATGGAAACAGAAGCAGACACCCACAGCTAAACACTGAGCTGAACTGGAATCCAGATGCAGAAAGGGAGGACAAAACCAGGCTACAGAAACACATAGAGACAGCTGACCTGAACAAGGAGGAGCTAATGGACACCCAGACTGATAGCTGGGAATCCAGCATTACTGACTCAAACTCCCAGAACATGGGTCTCAGTTAGAAGGCCTGGGCAGTCTAAGGGACCTCTGACAGTGGAACTGGGACATAAATTCTTAATGAGAGACTGTCTACATTGAGTTGCTCTGTGGGCATGTTTATAGGAGACCATCTTAATTAATTAAGTGATGTTGAAAATTCAGTCCATGGTGGTCAGTACCATTTCGCAGCCAGATCCCTGAACTGTAAAAACATGTGGAGTAATCCAGCTGAGTACAAGCAAGCAAGAAAATGAGTACACATGGATTCATTTACTCCTCTGTTGACTGTGAATGTCTTTCATGCTTTGATGAACTGGAAACTGGAACTGTTAGCTACAATAAATTCACCCCAAGTAACTTTTTATCATGGCATTTTATTCCAGCAATAGAAATGAAACTAGAAAAGTTACGAATGTGACCTCAGCAAGAACTAAGTCTGAATGTTGTGTTCTCAAAATTCATGTGCTAGGACCTAACTGTATGGAATGATAGGACTTCTACAAAAGCAAAGGGTTGGCCCTCATGTGTAAGGAGTAAGGTTTTTTCTCCTGCCTAGTCTTGTCCCTCCGCCACGCCAGCCCCAAATAATATACAGAGACTCTGTATTTGATATTATGCTGTTGGCCAGTTACTTGTTTCTTATAGGCTAGCTCTGTCTTAAGTATTAACCCATTTCTATGTATTTCCACGTGGTCTTACCAGCAAGAGGCGGCTGGTGGTTCTAGTCTCTCCATACTCTCCATCTTGACTCCTCCTTACTACTTCCTCTTTCTTCCTTGTCTCCTAGTCCCTCCTACCTTCCTTTCCTATTGGCCAACAGTGCTTTATTCATTAACCAGTATGAGAAACATATATACATAATGGCATCTCCTATCATCTCCTCTTTTCTGTCTAAATAAAAAGAAGGGTTTTAACCTTAACATAGCAAAATATATCATGCAACAATTATCAAGTAAGAATCACAGGTAACAATATTTAGTTCATCTCCCATCACTCATGATTCAGATAGTGTCCTTGTAATAGCATGAAGGGAGCTGCCATGCTCTGTGATATTGCTTGGAGAATAGCATCACTTGTCACCAGATACTGAATCTGCTAGTACTTTCGTCTTGTACCTCCCTAACTGTGTAAGAAAGTCAAACAGTTCTATTATTTCTGTATTTCCCACTACAAGATATATTGCCACAGACACAGGAATTGACTAAAATAGCACTGAAATTTCTACACTTCAGTGAAATCATTTATCGAATAATTCTACTACCAGTCCCTACTTCATGTTTTTACTAATATTAAATGACTCAGTCCTCAGAATGTGGTGAACACTCTTAGCTCACAAGACATGGCAACCATCATTGTTACTTCTAAGGTTTTCAGCACCTTATTTTAAATTTTAAGACATTTCTGTTTTGAAATGGAGTAATACATTCTAGTTTAATGAAATAAGAAAATTCTTTACTATATACAACCAGGTAGAAGCTATTCTAAAAGACAACTATATCCAACATCCCTACTACCTTTCCCGGGTTAAAGTTCAGTTCAGTTGAACTCAGCAGAATTTGTAGGGATTTAGGTCTGGCCCTGAATACACAAAGGGTATTTAGCATCTTCTCACTGCTTATTTGATCACTTTTTTTCCTGCTTTTTTATTAAGCCCTCTTTTTGTTTCTGTGCTGAGTTCTGGCACATGTTCTCCCAGAGTCTGGAAGCAAGTCTTAGACAAGTAGACATCTGGGGTCCTAATTTCCCAGACAGTAATTTGCACTCCATCTCAAAATTTACTTGCAGTTTTCTTATACTTACCTATTTTTATTTATTTATTTAGATGTGTGTGCATACACACCCTTGCAAATGAGTGTGCACATGTATACACAAGCAGGTACAGGTGTAGAGGTCAGAAACAAACTGCAGTAGTCAGTTTTCTTCTAACATTTAAATTATTACTTGTTTGTATTCATATCTATATTGCAGTATCCTGTAAATATTTTTCCTGTTTCTTCTCAAGAAGTCATTCATTGCCTCACATTAACCACTCTGCTTTATTCTTTACTGTCACACTAAGTGACAAGGATACAGTCTGAAGATGTCCAGTGAAGCCTTGTTGAAATAATACAGTCACATGCACATATAATGTGTGAGTTTGCATATGATATACTAATGTATATGAACATGCTATTTTTGTTTGTTTGGTTGGTTTTTGCTCTGTTTTTGAGATGGGGATCTCACTGCATACCCTAGCTTGTCTGAAACTCACTATGTAGACTAGATTGTCCTGGAACTCACAGAGTTCTGCTTGCCTCTGCTTCCCCAGTCCTGGTATTACAGATATACCCCATCATACATGACTAATATGTGTATTCTTCACCAACTTTCCCTAGTTAAATGTTAGGTTTTCAATTATTGTCCTCCCACTTGTCCTTGGTCACAGCCTAGTGTTTGACCTTTTATTTTCTGTCTGCTTTAGTCACAGAATTCATCATGTCAAAACTGGCTGGCTGCAGAGAATATCTTGAAAAAGTACTACCTCTCCACATTTTATGGGATTGAGTTCGTTTTGGGGATGCTTGGGAACGTCACAGTGGTGTTCGGCTACCTCTTCTGCCTGAAGAACTGGAACAGCAGCAACGTGTATCTCTTTAACCTTTCCATCTCTGACTTCGCTTTCCTGTGCACCCTCCCCATGCTGATAAGGAGTTATGCCAATGAGACCTGGATCTATGGAGATGTTCTCTGCATTTGCAACCGATACGTGCTTCATGCCAACCTCTACACCAGCATCCTTTTCCTCACTTTCATCAGCATCGATAGGTACCTGCTCATGAAGTACCCTTTCCGAGAACATGTTCTGCAAAAGAAAGAGTTTGCTGTTTTAATCTCTTTAGCTGTCTGGGTCTTAGTAACCTTAGAAGTCCTACCCATATTCCCCTTCATAAATTCTGACCAAACAGGCGAAGACATCATCTGCAAAGACTATGCAAGTTCCGGGAACCCTAAATACAATCTCATTTACAGTTTGTGCCTGACCTTGTTGGGCTTCCTCATTCCTCTCTCTGTGATGTGCTTCTTCTATTACAAGATGGTAGTCTTCCTAAGGAGGAGGAGCAGGCAGCAGGTGACTGCTATGCCACTGGACAAGCCTCTGCGCTTGGTGGTCCTGGCAGTGGCCATCTTCTCTGTACTCTTCACACCCTACCACATCATGCGCAATGTGAGGATAGCCTCACGCCTCGATAGCTGGCCACAAGGATGTTCGCAGGAGGTCATCAAAATCTTGTACATTGTGACCCGGCCTCTGGCCTTTCTGAACAGTGCTGTCAACCCCATCTTCTACTTTCTCATGGGAGACCACTTCAGAGAGATGCTGATTAGTAAACTGAGACAGTACTTCAAATCCCTTACCTCCTTCAGGACATGAGCTGGGGATCTTCTTTTCCCTCCAGGTCTCATTTACTTTCTCAGCCCCGAATAAGCACACAAAGTCATATATTAATTATAAACTGTTGGTTGATGGCTAGGGCATCTTATTGGCTAGCTGTGTCTTAAATGTTAATTCATTTATATTAATCTATGTATTTCCATTGGCTTACCAGAGAATGTCTGTCAAGTCCTATCCTCCTCCATGATGTCCCTTTCTGGTTTCCCTCTGCCTATTTTTCACAGAATTCTCCTTGTCTCCAAATCCTGCCTATCTTCATGCCTCTTTTGACAAACATTGCTGTATTCATCAACCAATAAGAGAAACATATATACAGAAAGACATTCCCTATCATCAGTCTTCACTCAGTCAAATTGCTCTGCAGTTGAGTTTTAACCAAGTAGACAACTATGTCCGGATTTTAGCTACTTTCCCACATGTAATGGTAGAGTACAAGCTGGGTCATGGACAGCCAGAAAGTCTGTTTAAATAGAGGCACATATCTGTCTTTATTTTAGGTTGTACCCAGTGTACAAGAAAATACGCATTATAAAAGTATTGATATCTTCCCTTAAGAACTGAAAAAAGTGTACTAATGCTGTCAATGTCTGGACACTTAAGATCTAATACCTTGGAAATTTAAAGAATTCTTCTATCAGTGTAAAAGAAATACAAGATATCTAGATTATCATGCTGCATGCTTTTTATCATTGGCCAGGTTGATAAACATGTATAGGAAATACTCTCTGCTATTTTTATTCTGGCAATATTAAAACTTTACATGAAAAATAAGTAGAAATCAATATATACCATTAACTTTTATTTATAGAAGATATATTCTTGAAAAGTATAAAATAAGAGCAATGCTTAATAAAAGCTGTATAAACAGTCTCTCAGTACTGATCATGAACTGTAATTCACCTGTAATATATCAATCAGTCCTTTTCTGTTAGATGGACTATAGGAGATAAGAATCTTTGTTTAGGTTAGTAGGATGTAAAATGTTTAACAAAGGGAATTGGTATGTTCTACTTTGGCTTTCAGAAAGTTGGCCATGATCAAATTCCATACGTATCATAGTCAATGAGGCTTAGCCAAGGTGTGCTTATTGCTAACTGAAAACATATCCCATAGTAATTTTACTCAAATATTGAAGACACATGCCAAGGAAAGATTCAGAAATTCTGCCAATACAAAACTCTAAATGTGTTGGAAATGCATAGCAAAATAAAACACAACAAAATGAGTTCGTTGTTTCTATGATGATTGTGCTGTCTGGAATTCTGATGTCATAATCTGATGCCTACTACATGGAAATATAGTAAAAGTCCCCTCCACTTCCATCACCTCTAAACAGAGAACTTTAAAACACATTATTGGGGCTGGAGCATAACATTAAGAGCACTTGTTGCCCTTGAAAGAGGTTTAGGTTCAGTTCTCAGCACCCAGGCTGAGCAGGCTGAGCTCACAACTCCCTGTAACTACAGCTCCAAGGGAGCCAGTACCACATTCTGGACCCCTTCAGCACCTGTATGCACATGGTTGACATACAAACAAGCAGGCACACATGTATGAAATAAATAAATTTGTAAAATAATATATAATTATTAATATCAGGAACTAACAAACAAGAGGCAAGAAACTATTAATTCCATGTTCATTGCGTAGTTTCCCTGAACATAGCCCTGCAGCCATGTAAAAAGTCTGAAAGTTACTTTGAAAAGAAAAGGAATGTCAGTCAGTTCATTTTATGTTTGAGCATTTTCTCTCTCCTTAGGCTTATACTGCCCTTTGCTTACATCTTTACTCCTGAGCCATTCACAAAATTTTTCACATATCCTCAGATTTTACAGACAACTTTCTTTTGGTAAGAAGTATGACTGAATTTTATGTACTAAACCATTAGCAGAATCATTTCTCCCTAAAAGAAAATAGGCTTAAAAATATAAGGTAACTTTGCATCTTTTACTCACGTGAATTCCCAGAGATATGGAGAAAAAGAAAATTCTCATGGTCATACTCTGTCTTGCCCATCTTATGTTTCTAGGTTATGTTTCAATTCAAGTTGCCTGTTTTCCCCCCTATGTGTAACTTTAAGACAGCAATTCCTTTCAATAAAAACAAACAGCTGATTTACCCCACATTGGCCTGGAAGAATATGTGTTTAGCCTGCAGGAGACCCTGACATAGATCCTAACCCACACACTACTGAAGACCAAGATCTGACATCTTGATAATTTTTCATCTCCTCCACACAGGTCTACCCAAGAAAAGTAAATTTGGGGAACAAAATTTTGCCACTCCAAATTATTTTTTAATTATTTGTATCAATCACACTTACCTACACCAATGATCTTACCAAAGGAAAATTTTAAAGAAATAGAAGGTGCCTATAAAAGGAATTACTGCCTAAAGTCCAAAGAGATTTGAAACTTCTTCAATTCTCTGATTTTATTTTTGATTTTCTCAGTTCTTGATGAGAAACATTTGAAATGTTGTTCTACTCTTTGCCATAGGAAACCAAGGACACCAGCTGAGACAGGGGTGTGGATAAAACACAGGAATTATGAGATTGTATTATAAGGCCATGTCAAGAATAAGCCCAGTTATGTACACTACACCAGTAATGAAATATCATCAGTGGGAGACATAGTCTGTCATTAAGGGAGGAACAGGATCTGTTTAAGTATTGAGTACATCATATCAGGAACAACTCCTCAACATGTAGACATGCATAAAAAAATAATCTGTTTTTACACAGACTGCCAATAGTCCTGTAACAGTCTTCTTCCTGTTGCTTTTCCAACATGAAAGTTCTGAAAGTAATCAATGCCCAAGGTTTCCCAGCTGTTGTGTATCACTAGATTTGTGGGTGCAAATTACTGTAGAAACCCTGCTGTGATTTTAGCGTCCAGTTCACTTTCTAATCCATGGTTATTAGCAACAAATGAGGAGTTTACTTCTTTTTCTTTATATTTTATTTCTATTAGAAAACTCCTTTTTCAGAACCTTACAGGGAAATACATCCTAGAGATCAGAATTCAGGCTCCAAATTTCATTCTAAATGTTTTATCCAAATGATGGCACTGCACTCAGGCAGAACTTTAAATATTCCAGGCTTGGCTTGTGGGAACTCATAGACTCTGAAACAACAAACAAGGAGCATACATGGAACTGGCATAAGTCCTCTGGATATCTGTGACAGTTGTGAAATTTGGCCTATTCCTGAAATTCCTGCTAATGGGAGCACTGCTATTCCCAGTACTTTGACTGGATCTTGAAAACCAGTTACTTATGCTGGATTACCTTGCCCAGCCTGATTACAGGGAGTGATGCTTGGTCTTATGGCAGCTTGATATGCCATGCTTTGCTGATGCTAAGGGAGGTCTGCTCTCTTCTGAGCAATTAAGGAGAAGTGGATGGGAGAGCAGAAGGGAGGAGTACGGAGGTAGAGAGCAGAAAGAAGCTTCCATCAGGCAATAAAATAAATACAAATGAATGTCAGGCTCTGTCATCTATTATTTTCTTTTTATTTAAATTAGAAACAAACATTTCTTTACCCTTCAATCCAAGTTCTTTCTCCCTCCCCTCATCCTCTGCCCCATACCTACCCTCTATTCCATTCCCTTTCTACTACCCAGAGAGAGTGAGGCATTCCATGGGGGATTATCAAAGTCTGTCACATTAATTGGAGCAGGGACTAGGCCCTCTCCCTGTGTGTCCAGGCTCAGAGAGCATCCATCTATGTGCAATGAGCTCTCAAAGTTCATTCCTATATTAAAGATAAATACTGATACACTACCAGAGGCCTTATAGACTACCCAGTCCTCATAACTGACACCCAAGTTCAGAGCCTCGGTCAGTCCTATGCTGGTTTCCCAGCTATCAGTCTGGGGTCCATGAGTTCCCTCATGTTCAGGTCAGCAGTTTCTGTGTGTTTCTCCAGCCTGATCTTGATCCCTTTGCTCATCACTCCTCCATCTCTGCAACTGGATTCCAGGAGTTCAGCTCAGTGTTTAGTTGTGAGTGTCTGCTTCTGCTTCCATCAGCTACTGGATGAAGGGTCTAGGATGGCATATAAAGAAATCATCAATCTCATTATCATGGAAGGGCATTTAAGGTAGCCTTTACACTAGTGCTTAGATTGTTAGTTGGGGTCATCCTTGTAGGTCTCTAGACATTTCTGTAGTGACAAGATTCTCATTAAACCTCTAATGGCTCCCTCTATTATGGTACCTTTTTGCTTGCTCTCCTCTATTCTTCCCCTTACTCAATCTGCTTGCTTGCTCATGTCCTCTCCTCTCCCCTCCTTTTCTCCCATTCTCTTTCTCCTGACTATCTCTCTCACCTTCCCCTCTCCTCCTCTCCTAATTTTCTCAGGAAATATTGTCCCTTTCCCCTTCTCCAGAAGACCATGTATGTCTCTCTTAGGTTCCTCCTTGATTCCTAATTCCTCTTGTATAGATTGTAGGCTCTTGACCTTTTGCTCTATGTCTAAAAGCCATATATGAGTTAGTAATAACATGTTTGCCTTTTTGTGACGGTGCTACTTCATTTCTTCTTCTTCCATGCAATTGCATGCAAATTTCAAGAAAAACATTGTTGTTGTTTGTTTGTTTGTTTGTTTCTGCTGAGTAGTTTTCCATGGTGTAAATGTACCACATTTTCTTTATCCATTCTTCAGTTGAGGGGCATCTAGGTAGCTTCCAGGTTCTGGCTATTAGAAATAATGCTGATATGAACATAGTTGAACAAATGTGCTTCTTTCATGAATGTGCATCTTTGGGGTATGTGCCTAAGAGTGGAATCACAGGATCTTGTAGTAGAATGATACCGATTTTCCTGAAGAACCGCCATACTGATTTCCAAAGTGTCTGTACGAGTTTGCACTCTCACCAGCAATGGAGGACTCCACATCCTATCCAGCATAAACTGTTACAGGTGTTTTTGATTTTAGCCATTCTGAGAGGAGTAAGATGCTATCTCAGAGTTTCTGTGATTTGCATTTCCGTAATGCCTCTGGATGTTGAGCACTTT